AGCTTGAAAGCTTATCAAAGCATAGGCAATAATACTAAAATTCTCAAGTTACTTAATGGTTTTCTACCTTTCCATGTCTCCTATGGTTTTTAATTCAAGGTAGATTTTGTGGGAGAAATATTCAACAAATAAATTGATATTGCCACCGCTTCTACCGAAAACTGATTTGGGAGTCCTCGCAATTTAACAAACTTCTTGCCATTTCTATAAATATATAATTATTTTTTTTTGGCTACTCCATTTAGCTTCAGTGCATAAGGTATAGTTATCTCCCTGTGAATGTCATGTTCTTTAATTAAAAAAAAAGTATCAATTCCTTAGATAAAAACTTGCCACCACGATCCATGTAAAGAATCTTTATGAAAGTGCAATTATACCTTTCAACCTTCCACTAAGTGATATAGTTCTCATAAATCCACATAGATTAGCATCCTCCACATAAATCAAGAGAATCAATTGAAGGTAATATAATGCCAAACCTTTCGAACTCAAGTGCTCCAAGCTTTTGATATTGAGATACCCAAAAAATAGGTGTCACAACTTAGCTTCATTCTTCTTTTTAGTAATGAGAACATGACTTTACACATTAGAAATTTCAAGTGAAAACATCTTATTTTCTTTCATAGGCACACTCACTATAGATTGCCCTAATTATTTATCATTAATAACACAAGCTCCATTGTTAAATAAAATTGTATAACCACTAGCCATTAGTTTTAAATGCTATGTGCCAAGTTAGGAACAAAGTACATACTATAAAGCAATTTTACTTTATCATGGCTAGTCTTCATAGTAACATTGCATTAGCCTTCAACTTGAATCTGTTTATAATCTCCAAGTGTAACTTGTATATTTTGTGACTCATCGAGCTCTTCGAACAATCTTTTATTGTTAGGATATGATTTGAGGGCTTCATTCTTCTTTTTAGTAATGAGAACATGACTTGACACATTAGAGATTTCAAGTGAAAACATCTTATAATCTTATAAAGCAATTTTACTTTATCATGACTAGTTTTCATAGTAACCTTGCATTAGCCTTCATCTTGAATCTGTTTATAATCTCCAAGTGTAGCTTGTATATTTTGTGACTCATCGAGCTCTTCGAGGAATCTTTTATTGTTAGGATATGATTTGAGGACCCATTATCCAAAAATCAAACATTCTCCCAGGCAAATTACAAGAAAGCCACTCCATTGGTCAACAAATAGAAAATAAGAGCACTCAAAACTTCATTAGAATCAGAATGAACAAAAAAATAACTTACTCTCTTCATCATCTTCTTCCATGTAATTTGCCTGGGAGACTTGATTTCTACAAATTGTCTTCATATGCCCAGACATTGTTTCAATTATAGCATTGAATATTGATCTTATTTTCTATTTGTTGACCAATGGACTGGCTTTCTTGTACATCAAAGATGAGATTTTTTGTCTTCCTCTAACATATCCTCTACCACGGAAGCCTCCTCTTCACGCCCTCTTCCAGCGAACTCGTCTTGTTTGTTTGCCTCTGCCGTCTCTTGAGAAACTTGAAATGTCTTTTCTTCATTCTTCTCAGCTCATCTATTTCGCTGTGCCTTGTGAGCTTGCAAACTACCCATGAGTTTATGAAAGGAAAAAGATAGAAAGGTCGTTGGTATCCTCAATGGTAGTAACAATATAGTCATACTTTAGAGTTAGACTGCATATTTAGGGAACTAAAGTTGCATATGTAATTTTATCTCCATAAAAACTCACTTGACTAACAATCATAATCACTCTACAAAAAAAAAAAAAAAAAATCTTGCGATGTTTCATTTCCCTTCATAATCAAGGTTTAAAACTCATTTCAAAGAGTTTGGAGTTTTACTGTTATTACCTTGACAGAGCCTTAAAATTCTTCAAATAGTGTATCACAAGCTTCTATTGAAGTGGTTGTCAACTTCTTGTTGAAGTTCTTGAGAAGAACGAATCAAGAACAACTATCTTTTTGAATGATGAGCAACAATTTTGAATCTTTTTTCTTGCTCTCCTTCAACCGAGCTTTATCACCATCTCTGTCAGCTTATCCATATTCAACCAAAACCAGAAGATCTTGAGAGCTGATTGATCTGAATAGAGTTTTCATTTTAATACGCCAGCATTCATAGAATTTTCCTTTGAAAAAGAGAATGAAATGTTGTGAAACACTCAAGAAACTTCCAGTGACTGCCATTGTCTCCTCTTTTTTCTTTTTACACAAGATATCTAACCCTCAATAGGGCAACTCACCAAGGCACTCAACCTCGCTCTAATACAAATAATATGGGGAAAGATGACTGACCTTTGTTCTAAGTTTTCAATAAAAAGGTAGGAACATAAAAGAGGAAAGAACAAACTAATTTTTTTTAGAAAACAGCATACACCATTGAATTGATTGATGGATCTTCAGATAGATTTACATAGAAAATTAACTCAGCTAAACTATACCCATTCACCACTAACAGTGTTGAAATATGAGTTCACTCAACAAAATAACTCAACTAACCTCTAACCATTCAGCACTAACAATGTGTTGCGCCAATGCCCAGCCTAAGTGCAATTTTGTCTTTTATTATTATTATTGTTGGGTATAAATAAGCTTATTATGTTTAGGGTGAGTTTTATGCATGAGATTGAGTTGTGAGTTTCAGGTTTAGGGTTGTGAGAGATTTCCTACCCCTCGAATTGTAGGGACTGAGAAAGATCGCTTAACTCTCGAATTATATGTGTTTACTTTGTATTCTTGTTGAGTGTTTAAATTATTGAAAAAAAATTGTGTTTTTTTCCTTATTTATGTGGAAAAGCGTGCCAATTTTGACATCAAATCATATCAAATTAGTATCAGAGTAGTATTTATGGGAGATCACCGACGGGATCTAATCAAAGCGAACGAGAGCTCCGTGCACCAGCATATAGGGCTGGGTTTGGAGCCTTCGTCTTGATTGGATCACGACGTCTAGTGCCAAAACAGTCGTGAACTAGGACATAACAACCAAATCGCTGAGAGAAGGGGGCGAAACAACACGATTTGAGTGTGGTGGAGAAAGATCACGACATACTCATGACTTCATCGTGCGAAACAGTCATGATTTGGAGTAATTAAGAAAAATCGCAGCGTACAGAGACCCTAAATTTCATTTGATGTAGTCATGATTGGAGCCAGCTAGTAAGACCAAAGGGATCGCGACGTATAGAGCTATCACCGATCAATTCAACCTAGTGAGATCGCAACGTTCAACCTTTGGTGATTGAATCCCACGATTATAGCGGGTTGGGAAGCATTGAAGGGATTGGCTGACTTGTAATACATGTGCGATTAGAGCTACTTGGGAAGCCACAACCGGATTAGAGTGATCCTTGATCACGTACTTGCGGAGCATGTTGCTCAATTTGTCTCATCCAGAACCAAATGAAGGGTGTTTTAGCATATAAAATTGTCTTTTTGTGAAAAAAAATCGAAAAGAATGACAGCTAAGAAAGTAGATGATTTGGAGAAAAAATTAGAGGAAGACATCAACCAAATCAAATCCGGGATAAAAGAAAGGTTTGCTGTCATAGAAGATATGTTTTCTTCCATTGAGAATCAAATGGAGGATTGATTTGAGATCATGAGAGAATTCAAGAGATGATAAAGAAGCTAATGAGATGTAATTCAAGGCTTCGTCGGCGGCTCAATTTGCAAAACCTAAAGGAAAAGATATCAAACGTGAGGAACGTGAAGAACATGAGGAGGAAAACATCCATCATCACGAACCTCCTCCTAGGCTCTGATTGAGGGTGGATTAGAGATTTCTGATGGAGGCGTTTGGGCCAAAATATAGAGAAGAAATTTTACAAGAGATATGAGAAAACACGAAGAAGAAAGGAGAGGAGGGAGGGGATATGACTATAATGTAATAAAGGGGGGGGGGGGGGGGGGGAACAACAGAGGGAGATGAAATTGGGGTGGAGATGCTAGGGTTTAGAAGTTAAAGATGACGATTTTTGAGGGGAAAGAAGCACATGAGTGTATGTGTTACAGGAGCGATATTTTGCGGTGAATGATTAGATGGGGAGGAGAAGCTCATGGCGGCAGTATTGTGTTTGGAGGGTAATCCCTAGTCTGATTTCAGTGGAAGGAGGCTAAGATACCTGATTCGTTCGTGGGATGAACTTATGGATTGTTTGTTGAAATGTTTCTGAGTCATTTGAAATGGAAACCTACATGAGTGATTCTATGCATGGACTCAGGATACCAACGTGAGAAATATGGAGACGAAAACATCCACCATCAAGAACCCCCTCCCAGAGCTCCGATTGGGGTAAATTAAGATTTGTAATGGAGGTGATTGGGCCAAAACATAGAGAAGAGATTATGCAAGAGATATGGGGGAGCACAGAGAAGAAATGAGAGAAGCAGGAAGGGGATATGGTTACGATTGAATGAGAAAGTTTTACCCTCAATATATGGGGGGAAAAACAGAGCGAGATGAAATTGGGGTGGAGATGCTAGGGTTTAGAAGTTAAAGATGACGATTTTTTAGGGGAAAGAAGCACATTGGTGTATGTATTAGGGGAGCAATATTTTGCGTTGAATGGATTAGATGGGGAGGAGAAGCTCATGGTGACAGTATTGTATTTGGAGGGGAAATCCCTAGTCTGGTTTCAATGGAGGGAGGCTAGATACCTGATTTGTCCGTGGGATGAACTTATGTATTGTTTGTTGAAATGTTTCCAAGTCATTTGAAATAGAAACCTAATGAGAGTAATTCTATGCATTGACTCAGGATATAGGGAGAGATTTGAACTATTGTCGGGATGACTGTGGGGGATTTCTGAAGTAGGATTGAAGGAGAATTTCATGAAGAGCATTATACTTGCTTGAACTGCATTATATTTATATATAAAATCTAATGGCGCTTAAATCTGTAACATCAAATTAAACCAACAATGGCATGCATCATATTTCTTTTGTGAGAATTACGGAGAATTGTATTATATTTTTAAATAAAATCAAACGGCTCTCAAATTTGTATTATTAAATTATATCAACAAAGGCATTCTTTCCAACTGAAGAAACTAGTTGGATAGAGAGAGAAAGAGAGAGAGAGAGAGAGAGAGAGAGAGAGAGAGATTTATGTTTTGCAATGCAAAGAGTTGCCTAGGCCGGTTGAAAAAAAATACAAGCTAAAGATAATTCATTCAAGAATTTTTTGTTTTTTAAAAGATTTACATTAAAACCACTTAATTCCTACCTATTTACATATCAAATTTCTAAACTTCATTTTTTACATAAATGTCATCTTCCATGCATGAATAACATAATGATATTTGATGTGACATGAAAATTTTGGGTGGTATAAATATAAAAAGTAGAGTTTATGCATTACATATATAAATAATGCAACACCCACACAGAAATCCTAAGAAAAAAAATAGAAATATAGCAACCGCATGAAAAAAGAACTTAAAAAAATATTACCATCTAATATGATCTCTTAATTACGATTCTATTCAAATTGATCCTTTCCCAAGTTGAGCAATTTGACGATTAAATTTTATGGATAGAACCCAATTCCCTAAAAACCTGATTTTCTTTTTCTAATCGGAATGAACTTGAGGATTGGTTCATGGTTCAACTGATTTAACAACTTGATTCGACTGATTTTTACATTGATGTGTAGAAACAATAAATGAAATATAACATACTTAAATAATTATGACAGGATCACGCTGGCAATTTGATGAGAACACCATAATAGCTAAATATCATTGCATGATAAATTCAGAACCATATAGCGGGTGGCACTAAATATCATTCATGTATAAAAATTGTCACTTTCCCTGAGCAAGAAATGAAAGCAGATAGAATAAAAAAAAGTACTTTTTGAGTGAAAAACAATAAATACTACGTAGAGAACAGAATCAACCGAAATTCTGATGCAGATAAATGAATGGGATCAAATTTCAGCAAGCATTGAGCATCAAGAGTTGACTAAAAACATATTTGATGAATGCATACTAGTAAGTAGAGCGGAAACTCAGCAGCCATGAGACAGCTAAGATCATGTTTTCTTGCATGTCTCTCTTCAATTTTCATTCATCAGCCTACTGCCTCAACTTGGTCTTCTTTACCTTCTTGACCTTCTTACCTTTGGCAAGCATTTCATTGTTCTTTACTATTTTCTCCACATTTGGAAGATCAATATCAACATGATCGCCATCACTAGCAGCAGCAGTTGCAATAGCAGCATTCACATTCATCACATTTTCCACCTCAGCAGCTCCAACATTTTCATGATCACTGCTGCTTCCATAAAAACAATTTTTTTTCCCTTTCTTATATTTGCTCTTCACTTTCTTCTTCAGTTGAAGCTCCTTGCTGTCACCATGATAGTCTTCATCCGCAGAACCAATAGCATCAAACATCGAACCATCTTTTATGTCATGCTCTTCCACCTCAGAATTCACAATCTTCTTCGCCCTCTTTTGTATCCTTCTCCCAGTGCCAAATTCAGTGAATTGATCACCATTTTCTTTCTCTTCACGGCCATCCTCATCAATACTAGCTGTCCTACCATTTCTGCCCTTGCTCAGCTTCCCCTTCCTATCCTTCTTCTTCTTCTTCTTCTCCATTCTCATGTCATCAATCTCCAGCTCTTCTGCGCCTTCTCCATCATCATCCTCATTATCATCCACAAGTTCACCGCCTATATAATCAACATCATGAATCCTTCCCTTCCTCTTCTTTGACCCCACTCGCATCTTCCTACGGTTCTCCTTCTCCAGCCCACTCTTTCTATCTCCTTCCTGAACAACAATTCCATCTGAAGGCTCTAACGTTTCCCTTAAACCGATATCAATCTTCATCCCCGTTTCAGGAACCACCTGATAGATAGGCAGCGCCACAGACTGCACCGACTTAATATACATACACCTAATGTTCTCCCACTTCTTTGGCACGTGATTGACTGCACCCTCAATTGCAGCCATTAAATTATCAATTATCTCCTCTCGATCCATGGAAACCCTCCCCACCTTCATCCCAATACCAGTTCCAGAACCAAAGAACAAAAGCGTAGACCTACATACCTGTCGAACAGCCTCCGGCCATCCAGGTCGAGAGATATTGATGGCGAGAGGGATCTTCTTCTTCTTAAAGAAATAGTTACCGATTAAGCGGGGAAGAAGAGTGATGATCCGGCGCTCGGCAAAGAAGATATCGTAAGAATCGCAGAGTCGGCGGCGGGACTCGAAGGGGACGTAGTCCGTTCGGAGCTCGGAGAGAGGAATAACGGAATCGAAGGGAAGTTTTTCAGCGGCGGCGGTAGCTCTAGCGGTCTCGGCTAGGGAGTCGTCGGCGATGAGACAGAGAGAGGTGCGTGAAGGGTCGAGAGGATGGAGGGAGTGAGGGAGAGGAATGCGGTATGGGTTGATGCGAGAGGTGGAGGGGAAGCGACGTACGCTGAGATGGAGGTAGAGGAAATCATCATGCTCGAAAAGCTGGGCATTGAGCTGCTTGGATCTCGCACGGAGGAACCCTAGGAGGGCGTCGACTGCGCGGCCGGCTTCTTCCCGGTTGACCCTTGAGGATCCTGGATTTGACGTTGCCGACATGGGAGGTGCTTCTGTGGGGCGACGGAGAGGTTCGAGGGTTTGAGGGTTTGAGGGTTTGTGGGTTTGAGCGGATACACGCAAAAGGAGATGTACAAAGCCCTAGGTTCTCAAGATTTAAGATTTTAGTCTTGTTAATCTTTTTAATGTTTAGTTTCATTGTTTATAAAAAAATATTAAAACGTTTAAGAAATTAACTTTATATTTTCTTAAATTTTTAATAAATAGTATACACTATAATAAAACTATTCATCAGAGCAAACCAAAAGAATAGGGGTGTAAACGAGCCGAACACGTTTCGAGCTCAAAAAGTGTGTTAGTTCGACTCGTTTGCTTAGCGAGCTGAACACGAGCCGTTCACGAACAAAGAGTCATTTTGACAACCCTAATCATGTAACAATAAGATGTTAATGATTGTGATAAGATTTAAAACATCATTTGAATCTAATTTAATAATTTTTATTCTATTTTGTTCATTAATACTTTTAACTGATTATAAATCTTTGTAGCCTTGTAATCAATTAAATTTTTTAAAAATACTACTAATCAAATATATATATATATATATATAATTGATTGATAGTATTTCGAGCCAAAAAGAGCCGAACACGAGCGAACAAATATTTGTTCGTGTTGTTCGTGTTCGGCTCGTTAACTTAACTAAAGAGGCGAACACAATCTTCTTAACGAGCCAAACACGAGCTGCTCGCGAACAACGAGCCATTTTGACCGCCCTACAAAAGAATATCAAAATAATAACTACTTGAAATAGAGCAGCTATGCAAAATAAAACCGAAAATAATTGTGTATATATCATCTGGTCTAAGTTACACCAGATTTTATCACAACCTCCTCCACAACAAAAAAAAAGATAGCAGATTTTCCAACAAGGAACTTGGAGAGGTGCAATGAGTTGTTGCAGCAAGGTATAAGCAGACGTGCAGCACTCATGTCTGCCTTTCACTAAATATGCAATAAAACAAACTTATGTGATCATCAACTGATTAGTAAGGTCATAAAAGCATATTTTAGTTAGAGGAAATAATGATTCAATTCCTTTTTTTATCTCAACAATTTAGTGTTGATTATCTTCTTAGTGTAGGATAAAAGAACAGCATTGAGCAATGATATCCCGTAGAGAGTCAACAGTCCTGAGAGTATCATTAACTGCTAATCATGAATAAATAGAAAATCTTACAACATAGTTTTTATGTATAATTAACTTGGACCAACTAACATTTGTGAGAGGACTATAAAAAGCCTTGGATATCAAATTGAAATGTGTCAAATTATGCACTTTCTAAAGGTCTTCCGCTTACATGTGAGTATGAATGTTATTTATAAAGTTAACGAGTTTCCGAGATAAACATGAAATGGGTATGTAATATTAAGCCTCGAGTGAGTGGAGAAATACACATGTTAAGCATGATTTCACTGTGAATTAGCTAGTCATGTATCCTAAAGAAGCATGATATAGAATCCATTTCAAATAAAAAAAAAAGATAATTGAGATTTCACGTAAGTAACAGAAACACAATGATTTTAATGAAAAGATGAGACATTCCTAGAAAAGCCTTTTTAAGAAGAAATGTGCTTATGTTGAAATTAATTAAAGAGGAAGGAATCATAATTGACAATTGTAAGTGTTAGGTTCACCATGTAAGTGTTAAGGGTATGCTAAATTGGGGATTTTGGATTGGGCTTGCAATTGGGTTTGAAATTGGGTTTGATTGGGATTGAGGATGATGAATTTAGGTTTGGAATTGAAATTGGGGGAGATTGAAGTCAATTTGGTGGAAATTGGGGGTAAATTGGGGAATTTAGACATTTAGGGGCAATTTGGTAACTTTGGTCAAAATGGGTCAATTTGGTCAAATTGGGCTCAATGGAGTAGTTCAATTTGATTTTGAAGACATTTGGAATGATTTTGTAGATTTTGGAATTTTTGAAATTTTTTGGGGTATGAAGGGCATTTTGGAAATTTTGGGGATTTATGGGGGTATTTTGGGAATTTTGCAAAATTTGAAGTATTTTGATCAATTTGAGTGATTTGGAATGGTTTGAAATGATTTTCTTGAAGAGATTTTAAGAATTTGGGTAATTTTAAGGAATTTTTGGAAAATCTAGGGTTTATGGGCAATATGATAATTTGGTAAAGTTTGTAGCCAAGAAGGGTCAAAATTGGGAATTTGATAAAATTGGGATTAATTGACGGCGTCAATCATGAGGTCACCTATTTGAACAATGAGACCAAAAGAACTCCCATTTTGGATCTTCCATTAACTTATGACTAATGATTTAGAGGACCATCCACATGAGTTTCAAATAGAGTAAGGGATAAAGCTAGGCATGTTTGGTTGAGGGTCAGGTTGTGAGTGCAGGTGAGGGCTATTAAGTGTGTGTGTGCAAGACTGACCAAGACCACACCATCCAGGGTCAACCCTAAAGCTAAACAATCATATGGGGACCTCTCTTGCTAAAGGGTCGACAAAATTGACTTGATCAATTAAGTTGTATCGATTGGTTGGTCAAGTATGGTTGCAAAGCCTCGATCATTGACAGTGAACTCATGTTGGGTGGGCAAAGCTAGGTTGTCGAGCGGGGGTGAATCATTGTAATTCGATAGGTTGCCGCTCTTTGACGAAAAGGTCTTAAGGGATGGCTGAGACTCATCTCTCCAAATCTTGATGTTGTTTGAGGAGTTTGTTGGATGCCTCCGAAATAATTTCAAAACTAGAGATGCTGGCTTTCCTCTCGGGGTTGGTTCCATCATGAGGAATGCCTTGGATTCTTCTTGTTGAGAATTTTAGAGCGAAGAAAAATAAGAATAAACACAAATCCAGAAAAAAAAACATAAAGATTTAACATGGTTCAACAAAAATGCCTACGTTCTCGGGAACAGAGCGACGACTTTCTTTCAATTTCAGGAAAGAGTACAGAATCGCCTTAGGGTTGCAATACATATATATATAGCTATTGTGTACAATATGTAATTACAAAATTATTCCTGTACCGAACCGCGAGGCCATTTCCCCCGCACCATCAACCCACATAAAGAAACTCCCCCGATTAGACTGATGCTTCCGCTCGCTTCGCTCCGTTCCGCTCCAACATCTATCCCTTATCTAGTATATGAGTCACATCCAATAAATCTCCACCTTGGCGAATATTCAGCCCCTTAGGAGAAATATATCATGGAGTTTCTTACACACTGAAGTGGGTTGGACTACCATGTTTTTTAGCAACTACAAACATTCAACAAGTGCAAGCAATGCAAAAACTTGTTGATAGTAACTGACTTGGTTAACATATCAGCTGCATTTGCATCAGTATGAACCTTTTGCAACAAAAAATCAACAGAAGCAATCAATCATTTGATCTTGTGATACCTGACATCAACGTGCGTAGTTCCGCTCCACTCCGCTCGTAAGCTCCACTACGCTCACTCGCTCGCTCTACTCCGCTGGCTCGCTCCGTTCCGCTCCAGCATTTGTCTCTTATCTGGTTAATGAGCCATACCTAACACTTCTATACTTCACTTCGAGTCAAACCACTCAGTTTTGAACTGCTTGATTGCCTTGATTAATTTTGTACTTGATGCTTTTGATTAGCCTTCGAGTCTCATATTGGTGGGTCCTTCTTTGACACACTTAGTTCTGAATGCTCCATTAGATCACGAGATTGTTGTTGGCACTTTTCTTGTATTCACAAGTAAATTTAGAAATTTAATTACACATATATCACTTCAAACATTACTATTTATAAAACTAGCCCCAAAATTTTTTTTGAAATATGAATTGATGCATTTATATGCGTCACAATAGAAGAACTGAGAATTTGATAAATAAAAAAGGGATAGGATTTTATGGCGAGTTGTGGCATTTGAGTGAATGTTTATGTGGATGCTTAAATAGAGTAATTCTTTTAATTTCATTTAAAGCCATACATCGTTTTCATGACATGGTAACTCAAATTCTTGGCAAAACCAAATAATCCTATAACAGATCTAGGAGGACCTATGATTTTTTTTTTGTTTTGGTTAATCGTAGCCGATATCCGGACATATGTATGGAGTAACAGTTGTTCGGATTTAGGAGGGTCACACACGTGAAAAAAATTTACATACGGAGTCTCGACACAGCTCTGTGCCCGGACTCTAATAACACATCGTCAAGTATATTCCAGTGGACCTCTTTAAAAAAAAAAAAAAAAACTATAATCTTATGAGTCGAAATGGAATCAATTTTTTAAATTTTGTACATTTAGCTTAATTTTATTAGAGTCCGGATGCAGAACTGCGTTTGGACTCCGCATGTAACATTTTCTCTGCACACACATGCAACACTCTCATTTAAGTATTATATTGTATCAAAATATTACATGTTTATCATAATAATAATAACTATATATATATACATACATGTTTTAACCCTATGCATGAAAAAGCTGTATTTATTTTTTAAAAAAATACTAATAATGCTATTCTTTATTGAGATTAAAGATTTGATTGGTATATGTGTAAATATAAAAATTTAGGTGCGTGACATGCAAATACACAAGAATAAGATGCTATGTATATACATACTTTTTTTAATCTTGATTTATTCTTAAAAAATATATATATTTTTTGTAATTCATTCATATGTTTTATAAAATTTGAAATAAATTAAATTATTTTTAAAAATACTCAAAATATATTTTAGAGTTAAAAGTCATTTCTCTACTCGCTTCTTTGAAGATGTTGATTTTTCTTGTTTGAAAACAAGCATTTGATATTTCCTAAATACTTTTTTTTATGAAAATTTTAAATTTTGTTTTAGGAGATGTCAAGTATTTTTTACTAATTTATGTACATCACAAAAAAAAACATCTATTTCGCTTTCAATGTAGCCATTGCAAGTTGGTTGAAAACCATGTTTTTGAACTGACCAACCGGCCATAATTTTTGTAAAGTATTCCTAGTCATGGTTTGCCGGCCAATACCTGTGTTAGGCTCCATTTGAAGGAGCTTCATCATTCGGCGAAATGCTTTTAAAAGCGCCGTCCCTAAAAAGGAGGAAGCGACTTGCACTCTAAAATGATGATTTATGATCGTTCTTGCAAAATAAATTTGCGAGACGCTGCTTCACCGAATGATGTATCAACATTCATTGCAACACAACAGCACTGCAATGCCTTCTCAAGCTAAGCCTTACACCAATCCAAACAGGATCATCAGATGGTGACGTTTAATGTGACCAAACCCTCCAAGACGACTCTCTAATTTTGACCGCCACTTGAGTTACATCTAAGAGGGCTAATCTATAAGTTAAACATATACTCAAAAAGGTTATAGGAAAGATGCCAATACAAATATTATATTCAAAAAATTAAAACAACATTTGAAGACATTTAAGCAGTAAAAAGGTGGAACCACTTGAGCTGAAGAGTCACAATACAGTCAAATAACGAACCGTCATCTACAGGAAAAATTATTCCATACGGATCGGACACCGCACACTTGAACTGAAGAGTCACAATACAGTCAAATAACGAACCGTCATCTATAGGAAAAATTATTCCATACGGATCGGACACGCACGTGCGGTGTCCGATCCTGAGGTGATTTACGGTCAAGATAGGGCCCCACCTAATTTTTTTTTTTTTAAAGAAAATTGAAATAATCCTGACCGTAGATCACCGTGATCTACGGTCAGGATCGGACACCTCATGCAGAGATGCATACGGTGTCCGTATGCAACAATTTCTCCATCTACAGAGATCATGTACCCATTTCTTCCCGAACATTATATGAATAACAGACATTAAAAGCTCAAATAGCTATAGAAAATTAATTCATTATAGCAGAAGTTAGCGCATATCATCCAATAACAAATGCACAAAATTTAATTTTTGAACCCAAAATAGACTACACAAAACAAGACCTATGGGGTCACTACACCAGGTAAAAACTAAGAAAATACAAACCCGGATTATCACTTTATAATCCCAAAAAGAAAGCATAGACCAACCGAGAAAGATAATGCAATTTATTCCAGTCAATATGCCAAACTTCTTTCATCTTCAATATAAGAGAAATAATGTCCAGAAAGCTGCATTTCGGTATCACGCAGAAGGCACCACAAAAGATTTCCAAGGAATGCTCCAAAAAGTAAACCAATTTCCGAGCATATCTGTAAAACTAAATAAAAATACTAGACAACTATAGCAGAAAAAAGTTCAGCATTAGTAATAGAGATAACTGAGCATTACTTAAGCTTTCCCTTCCACAAGACAAAATGCTAAATTGCACTCCCATATAGCTAAAAATCTGAATTTGAGGGCGGTCTTGATCTGATTTAGAATAAATATCAAGAGTTTCAAGTCATACATTTTATGATACGCCGGAGAACAGAGCATCTGATGTTTAAAGCAACAGATATTAGAGCAACCAACGCTACACACTTACATTTGATGTTTGGGTGGTAGCATGAAGGAAGGGTTTGGGTTTTAATGAGCATTGCTGTGCTTAGCCAGGCTTGCCTGCTCCAGCATTCCACCCTGAGTATGCCGGTGCCACAACTGCCGCTCCTGCAGCAGCTGTAGATGCGTCTTCTCGAAGTCAGACATCTGCACATAGGATGGAGGAGGAATGCTTAGGGATGCAGCGAAGGGATCTCCTCCAATGTTTTGAACAATACCATCAGATGCTGGCAATGCCAGGACAGGTACCAGCAAGTCAACACTGTTCGCACTACCAATGCTTGCGTGAGCACTCACAAGTTGCCTCACCGCTCCATGGTCATGCATCCCATTGAGAAGCAGAGGATCAATGCCTCCTCCCAATGCAGTCTTCTGCTTCGCAAGTTTACCGGCTGCCTCAACCAAAGCAAGTTCCCAATCAGCATTCCCTTCATCAGGATCTGGTCTCTCGCAGACTGAGGTCGCATTGCCTTTCCCAGAAACATCAGAGGAAGAAAATGCCTCCCATGTCCAATTCCCAGTCCCAGCTGCACCACTGAAGAAAAGGGCTGATGCAAGCTTAAGTCCTTGAGCATCTGCAGTCCCATCATCCTCCCTGAGATCAACCAAAACATCTAGGAACTGAGGCTGGCTCTGAGGATTTTGCTCTGCCTTGTCCTCATAATCTGAGGGTGCAGGAATGGCCTTTAGAACATTCATACCCCGCACCGGCTCTTCTTCCTGTACAGTAAGAGCCCGCTCCGCGTGCCTCAGAGGGCTATTTGGCCTCGTTGCTCTGTCCTTCTTGAACTCCTGCAACATCTCCAGAAGTTTATCTGTTATGCGCTGAACCTCCGGAAATTCAGAAGATCTTGCTACCCCCGTGCTCTTGCACCACCCATAGAATGCATAAAGTTCGTCTATCTGCTTAGCTGCGCTCGCGTAAGCTTCGAAAGACTTCACGCAGTCAGAATGCTCCATTTCAAAGAAACGGTCCAGAAGCAGGTCCAGTATCTCACAGATGTGGGCGTAGAGCTGGAAGCTCTCTCTAATGATTGGGTAGAGCGCAACAACAATCATCCTGTTGCTCTTTGCCAAACCAATGGGCCGGCATGCCAGAAGTCGATCAAACAGCTGCTGTAGCTGGTTCATCCACCCCAACACATTCTCCAGATTCCTCTCCCTTAGAGGAGTACCTGGTCTCCTCTCCTCACCCTGGGTTGGAGTGAAGTTCGAAATAGGGTTTCTCCTGTAAAGATCGGGATTGCTGTAACACGAGTAGGTGCAAAACGGCAGTGATCGCTGCTGCTCGCGAGGGGAATCGATCTGTTTGTAGTCACGATTTATGCATTCAAGGCGCAGATCAAGATAGAACGCGTAGGCGCGGACGAAGGCGGAATGATCCCAGGAGCTGGAGTGAGCCTCGTCCCTGAAATCGGACATGTTGAGGAGGCGTGTGCCACGGCGAGTGGCGTAGAGGAGCTCGTGGTGGAAAGCGGTTAAGCCTTCGGTGAGGAGACGATGGACAAGCATCAGGGTTTTGAGGGCAACGATCCAGTCGCGAGTTTTGTCGAGGCGGCGGGAGATGGTGGAGACGCATGCGCTTGCGTACCCTCGGGAGTAAGAAACCGTGTTGATGATCTGGTGGATGTGCTTCTCGTCTGAGGGTTCATCTTCGTGGCTCGTTGCCTTCACGATCGCTATGTTGAGGTCGGGTGCGATGGTGCTAGATACCTTAGCAAGGCCAATGCTCGTCTGGTCTTTCATGGTGCCGATGGCCTTCCGGATCGTGCTTGATGCCATTGTCCACCTTTCTTCGCTTTCCTTCTTGTCCCGGAAACAAAATACCAATCCACAACTGTATAAATACACATTAAGATTTTGACTTATGCAAGGAGAAAAATATTAGAACAAAACACCGGACATAGAGCTGCATCGCCACGCCACATGTAAAGTGGGGAATCACTTAAAAAAAGGTTTATTTTGGTGTATGACCCGATCCGAACTAGTCCAATGTCTTGAAAACAAAACCCCACACGCCTCTTAAATCTCCATTTTCTTCTATCTCCACCAGGTAGAGTTTCGCAGAGTGATTTTCACCAGCGTTTTTTGTAGCTAGGGTTTGATTCGTTTGAAATCTCTCGCATTATCAGTCACATGATGAGAAACATTTGTTGTCCCCCTCTCTCGCCATGTAAGCTATTGTGTTGTTTAGGTTTTTTTTGGAATAAGTCTTGCGTAAAGATTTAGGATTTATATTGTAAACTTATGTACTTTTCTTTGTGTTCTTAAACAAGCTAATATAGAAGAATGAAATAAACCAAGGAAAACAAAAAGCATAGGAGTTGACATATAGCATCCAAGTAAAATTTTGGTTATGTTGTTGTACTTGCATTCAAAAGTTTATGTAACCAGGATAAGCATTAATTCATATAGGTTTTACCTGCTTTGTTCAATGACTAGTTTGATAGCTAAATTAACCATAAAGAATGATGATTTAGTATTGGAAGAGAAAGTACTTCATCTTACCACCACAATATTATGATTGTAGAATTTATCACGAGTGAAACAGTCGAATACTATAATTAAACTAACATAATATTATCATAATAACATCACAATACAACCACATTTATATCACAATAACACCATAATACTACTTTAATAACACCACAATACAACCACACTATTAACACCACAATACGACCACACTAATAACGTCACTATACAATCACATTTGTATCACAATAATACCATAGCATTACATTAATAACAACACAATATAACTTATCGTCACTATACAATCACATTTGTATCACAATAATACAATAACATTACACTAATAACACCACAATATAACAGGTTTTGTATCACAATAATACCATAATACTGCACTAATAATATCACTATACGACCACACTATTAACCTCGTATTACAACCACAATAATAACACCACAATAACACAATATTTGTATCACAATAATACCTTGTATCACAATAACACCATAATACTACACTAATAATATCACTATACAATCACACTATCAACCTCGTATTACAACAATATTAATAACACCACAATAACACAGCATTTGTATCACAATAATACAATAATACTACACAAATAACACCATCAAACAACCACACTAATAACAACACAATAAGACCACTCAAGTAATACTATTATTCTACCACATTTATATGATAATAGCACCATACCATTATATTAATGACATCCTTATACAACCATATTTGTATTATAATAACACCATAATACTGCAACAAGAACACCACTATACAACCAAACTATTAACCCCACATTACAACCACACTAAGAACACCACGATAACGCCACATTTGGTGTTATTCTGAAGTGAAATGGGTTTATTGAAGTAATGTTGTGGCATTCAACAATAAATTTTGGTAGTTTTATGCAGCAAAGTTTGTGTTATTGGGGTGGTAATGTGGTGTTATTATGTGGGTAATTTGGTGGTATTATGATTTTAATTTGGTATTTATGTGACTAAATTATTTTATTTAAAAATAACTTTTGATATTATGTATAATACCATTTAAGTTGACATTAGAGATGATTAGTTTTTGGTTATGTAGCTTGGTCTGACTGAGATAGTTATAGATTTTCCTAGCATAACAGAAATCCCACTTAAAATGCAAAAATTAATTGATTGATGCTATAAAAGATACATTGATAAGTTAGTATATGTTCACATTTCTCTGTTATGTCAGCAATAATCTTGTATTTGAATCTAACATAAGCTATGTGTTAACGTTGTCGGAATGATATTATGATTCATGTTGGACATGTAATAATTAACCGATCTGATCTTGATGATATTTTGACAAATGATTGGTTTGCAAATGAATACATCGATGCTTTTGCACTTTTCATAGCAAAGAAGAAGATTAAATCACCGACATAGTATATATCGTTCCTATATGTATCACCACTGCATTTGGTAATTATTAAAGTTGTAAATTTAACGTAACATTTATTTGTATACTTCTTCCACAATGACATTTGTGCAATTTTATGCAGCTATATAAAAAGAAAGACAACATTTGTAAAAATGCATCACAAAAGAAAATGTCAAAAAGCTCAAATTATAGTAATTTCTATTGTGGATAGACAACAATGGATTTTATTGCCGGTGGATTTGAAAGCTAAAAAGTGGATATTATATGACTATGCCCAATAAGATACACAAGGCGATCACCCATAGCGTTGTAAGTATATTCAACTGGAGCTAGTGATTAGTTATTCAGTTCAAATTTTTTTGTATTGTATACATTTTAATTTAATCTAAATTTTTACATATCAAATTATTTGCTAAAGATGCTGAGGGATTTTTCCGGCGCAATCCAATAAGATGGTCAATCGTTATGGCTAGAGGCACCCCTGAACAAACTAACAATGTCGATTGCGGCGTGTTTGTTTACAAGTATATCAAAACATTAGTGGGCATCAAGAAAGTTGTTTGGAACGATAAATTGGGCTGACAGGAATAAATGATTAAATTTAGAGCTGAATTCGTTTACGAACTTTGTATGTGGGTGTTGTCTACTTCGTAACTGGTTTTAAACAGATTAACTGATAGTGTGTTAGCTTTAAATTATTTTATTTTTATTGTAAATATTTTTATACGGCTGTATGCGTGAATTCTAATGTTATGTTGATATTCTTGCGTCTCAACTTAGAATTGTATGTGTGGTACTGGAAGAACATTTAGAAATTCATTCAGAGCTGAAGTTCAAGGCTTCCCTAGCAGTTCTTTTGTTATTTGCCTTACTTTTTATTTTACACTAAGGGATTTGACTTATGGCTGCCCCACAGGAATAAATGATTAAATTTAGAGCTGAATTCGTTTATGAAGTTAATAGATTTGGCTATAAGAAGTTATTTTTGGTCACTGAAATTTATTGAACAAGAAGAAGATGTAGCCAAATAAGATTGTGGTAGTTGCTTGAAAATGAAACAATTAAACCTTTGCAATTTTTGAAAATTCTTTTATCAATCATACTTATTCATACCATTTGAAAAAAGAACAAGGCGAACCCAAACATTTCCAATTTCTGATTAATGATTCCAAACTCTGTTACAATAAATGAATGCTAAATTTATAAGATTGTAGCACACACAAATTCGTGCATAGAATTATAAAATTGAAGAATTTACGAGAAATTATATCTCACAAATGGAATCAATCATCAGGCTGATATATGTTTGTGTGGACTGCGGTGCACTACAGGGTGTATATAATTCATGTTATATTGTTGTAATCATGAGTAAATGTTTAAGAAATGTAACAATAAAAATTTTCTTAATTATGTTCAATTTCCATTATATAACTGCATGAAACAATCCGACATTGCACACAAATTTGCGTCCCAGGGGGCGGTAACTGGTTCTTGGTTTGATGAAGGTTCTTTCTCCTTTCATGCATTACAAACATGGTTTATGTTAGAGAAACATAATGGTACATAATAATATTGATCTTCACTATAGAAATATATACTTTTGGCTCTCTTAGTTTTCTCTCAACACCCTTTTAATCTAGAATTAGATATTCTTTAATCTAGAATTAGATATTCCATTTGGGGACATCTTTGCTCGGTCCTTCAAACTAAATTCTTTATTGGCTGATTTTTTTTTATTCAATTTCTGCTTTGACTGAGCTTCTCTCCTATTTAATATGATATCAACATCGACGAATAATTTTTTCAGTGATTCCAACATGTATTGCTCAACTTTCTCATTTCCTTGTGTTTTAGTAATAATTTTATATGAAAACTTTTGAACGTGTATGAGCCCCCTTGAATAACCATTCCTCACTTGTGCCTCTTTGAGATATCTATATCCATAACTGTTATAGATGTCCATTTTAGCATGAATAGACCATCACAATAGGAGATATTTATGATATATCTTTGTTATATTTTTTAAGTCGATAACGTGTAAATAGTGGGCACATAATAACCCCATCATTTCAATTTCTTGCAATTGCAACTAATTTTGGAATTGGACTTCTCAACTTCAATAATCCAAGGTTTTTTTGAACCTTGATTATCCAATTTTTTAATGTAAAATTTTGAAACACTATTTGTAGAGAATTTACAGCAATACCACATAACCCATGTAATAACTTTTCCTTAAACATTGAATACAACTTTCTTGAATAAAGTTATTTGCCTCAACACTAGGCTCCTTTTAGCAATGGGAGCAATTACAGATTAAGCACATTTGAAATCCTTGTTATTATCATTTCATCTAAATGCTTTCATGACATTTTCAATTCTCAGAAAAGAATCGGTAATAGAGTTTGTTGACTTAAAGATACCATGATAAATATCATTTGTAGACTCACTCTTTGTGTTAATAAGTTTCTCATTCTAAATAATTATCTGTTAAAGGTTGTTGACCACTTATATCTAATGTTGTACAACTCATCTAGCCAAATTTTGTCGTGTCGATTTTCATTCTCAATCATAGCAGACCAAATTTGTTCAAACTCCTCTTCAGAGTCGCTTTTGCCCATGCATTATAGATTACCCACAAAAAAATGAACTTTCAAAGGAAATTTCTTTTAGATATGCTACTGATAATTTCTTGTAGATATGTCACTGACATTATCTATGTCATGTATGTGACAGAGAATTCTCTATAGCTCTTGTCATTTCTTGATCTTGATTAATAAAATTATTATTGGATGCTTAACATCCGTTATATGAATAAATGTTTTGAATATCCAGTTGAACGAATCAATCATCTAATCCGATAAAAAACTAACTCTGAAGAGAACATTTTGCTATGGTGGTTAACGCCAACAAAAGAAGGACAACATAAATTATA